GTTTGTTTGTTTGTTTGTTTGTTTGGGTGTGTGTGCGTGTGTGTGTGTGTGTGTGTGTGTGTGTGTGTGTGTGTGTGTGTGTGTTTTGAGTAACTTGATCCATTAAGTTCAATAGTAATACTGCGTCATTTTTTTTGGGTCAGTATAAATTGTTTTTGCCGTCACGTTATATTTTAGATATTGCTCCTTTGTGTCTGACAGGCTGTGATTGGATAAACCAAAAGCTAGGGCTCTATGGTGTCATATAGAACCCCACCGTACTCATTCGTTTCGTTCTCTGACATCTAATATATTTATGGTTTTAACAAGTCAACAAAAGGGATAAAATATGATATTGATAACCCATCAGAAAAAGCTGAACAGAGAACAATTTGGCCGAGTAAAAGAACCAGTCATTGAGCAATTCGACGTTCTCTGATATTTCTGTCTTTTAGTGCATCGTATGCTACTATTGCTACTATTCAGCTGTTCTCTCCGAGAGTCCGGTTTGATATAGACACTAAAGCTAACAAAAACGTGAGGGGGTGGGGGGGGGAGATAAAGGAGATGATAATGTTTAACTTCCTTTAAAGGAGTAGGGTAGGAGGGTGATTGCGTTCGGTTTAGGCTTTTTTAAGGAGAAGTGGTCATCAATGTTTAGTCTTGAGGAGGATATTTCTACGTACAAATCAGGGACAAATAATTCACCCATTGGTTAACGCTAACATTTGGAAATTTGGCATTTTTTATTTTCATTAACGAATCGGTTTGTTTTCTGTCCTCATACATGACAGCATGAGCCAGCATTGATGGCATTGTTTATTTCGCCTCTCCAAATCTTCCCTTGATCTGTGTTCTCAACTAAAGCTTTAGTCAATGTGGCATCTTGGGCTTATTCCAGTCAAGAATATAATGACCGTTTAAATGAGATAACTGGAGGAACAATAGGCGGGCAGAGTCCAGTCAACCTTGAGGTGTAGCACCCTCTACCGGCGGAGTCGACGAGCAGTCTAGCCGGAACCACGATCAAAGCACGTAGACTCAATCAAGCCACGACAAAGAAACGCCAGGCAATCACAGCAGCGACGATGATATCAATCAAGCCAGACTCAATCAGAGGCCGGACCCCACAATCTCTCGCCCAAATCTCACCTGCCATTGTGCCGTGGTGGTAGACGGACCCCCGTAAATGGTATGGAAAGGCCCCCGAAGATAGCGACCTTTATTTAGATAACTTTTTAGCCCCCGCAAGCAACCGTTTGATACGTTCAAGATGGACCGCTGATATCCTCCTCTCCGATCTGCCTGCAGGGACGGTCTTGCTGTTTTGTCTACGCTGGACAAAGGGACACGCCGCCCACGGGGGGTGCTGACATTGGACAAGAGTGACCACTGAGTGACCATTGGACGATGTATTTACACTACAAGTTACATTGAGCGCGAATGAGATCTTTGGGAAGGGTGGACACGAATCCGATATCCTTGTTTCGTTCTCACAGGGAATAGTTCATTTTTATTGTTTTCTATTAGAGGCGACTCGGACTGCGATGGTTCGCCGCTCCTTTGGGAGTTAGTTGTTGTTACAGAGGGAGGGTCGCGTAACGCATACCGATGTGATGAAACTTAATGGTAAATTCCACGCCTCAGAAACGGGTCGATCATCGAGGAAAAATGCTCCCCATCCTCCCAGCATTGTGCGTCCGGAGCATGGACAAAAGAAGTAGAAACTTGATTAAGAGGTTCGATCTTCGTCGTCTTTTTCGTAACAATCCATGCTTTTCCTGTGACGACGCCCTTTGAAGTGCACTATAACCCCATCAGTGTTGTGCTGAATTACGATGCAGCTGATGACCGTAGTGCGATTTTCTAAACCAAGCGTTCTTGAACTAGAGCTGTTGTGAGGGAAAGGGGG